CAGTCACAATGATTTCAGCTTGATAGCACCTGGTTAGTTCAACCTCTCTTTTGCAGCAATGTCTGCAGTCATTTTTGCAGGGTCATCGGCTCAGTCCATCAGCATTTTTATGAGATTTTCTTTCTCTGTATTCTATTTCATAATTATACTGGTCTATCTTTCCAATACAACGTGCTAGTTGTCCTTCTGGGTTCTTTAATGATCTTAACCAGCGTAATGCAGTATGGTCTGTCCTGATGGTAAACCTGGCACCATATAGGTAAGGATGGAAATATTTCAGACTCTTTACTATAGCAAGGAGTTCCCTTCATGTTACACAGTAGTTCCTCTCTGATCTACGGAGGACCCTACTTAAGTAAGCCACCACGTGTTCGTTTTCATCCACTTTCTGAGACAACACTCCTCTAATTCTGACATTACTAGCATCACAATCCAGTATGTATGGCAGTGAGGAATTTGGAAGCTTTAAAAGTGGAGCTGAGACCAATTTTTCTTTCAATGTCTGGAAAGCATGAAACTGTCCATTCACACTTCTGGTCTTTTTTATTCAAATCATGTAGTGGAACAGCTATAGTTGCAAAATCCTTCACGAACTTCCGGTAATAGGTACAGAATCCCAAAAAACTTCTTAACTCTCCCACATTGTCTGGTGTTGGTCAATCATGCACTGCTTTCACCTTGTTAGGATCAGTTCACACCCCATTCTCACTTACCCAAGTAAAGCACCTCTTTCTGGAACAAGTGGCATTTCTTGGGATGGAGTTTGAGGTTTGCTGCTTTCAAAGGCTTGAATACTTCCTCTAGCCAGGATACTTCCTCATCAAATGTTGCTGCAAGCACAAGGACATCATCCAGGTACACTAGGGCTATCTTCCATTGTAGGTCTTCCAGTACTCTTTCCATCAGCCTCTTAAATGTTGCTGGAGCATTACTAAGCCCGTATTGCCAGATACCTTGGCCATAGCTAAATGCAGTCTTAGGTTTATCTGCTTCAGCCATTTTCACTTGATGGAAACCCGACT